ACTGATCCATTATCATAATGCAATTATCGAATAGTTTCAATTGCAAATGTATTTAATTTAAAGCAATTATGTTCCTTATAATGACTATCAGTCTTTACTTCTATTCCTAATTATCGCATATCAATGTCGCCTCCATATTTGTTGACAGTTTGTGATTGTTGAATTTTTTCATCAAATACGTGTTTGTTGCTTAGTAGAAAAATTCAATATAGCTTTTGATTTTAATACTACTATTATTTTAATAATCAACGATTTCCGTATTTAAGTTCATCCAAACAACTTCCATACGACATACACAGTTAATGACAAAAACACTGATCTTTCTCGAGACAATGCAACATAGCATGTGTTCAAGGAAGTTTTCGAGCGCAGTTTTTCATGCACTTTATAACAGTATTCGTGAAAGTGTGTTTAACCAAGTTTTGAGACCAAAAGGAATACGTCACCAAGAATTGTTGCAAAAGTCAAAACAAAAATATTTGGCCTGATTTTTGCGAAGAATATACTATATAAAAATCAAAGGCTAACTGAATATGAAGGTGAAAAAATATTATGTGAAATGTATAACAGAAAAGTCAGAAAAGTTTCTTTTCAAATATATGTATGAGTAATTTTTGGAGAAGTTCTACGAAGAATGATAGGGATATAATTCGACAAGGATCAAATTTTAAAAAGCTGAAATTTTTGATTTCGAGGTTTCAAAATATGACCAATCGTCAGAGGATACTATTAACAAAAAAATAAATTTTAACTTGTGATGTTCTTGCAAAATATTTTCTACAATATCAATAATACAAAAGTGAAGCAGAAAATAAATGGCACATTCAGTAAAGTTGGTAACGTGTTTAACCATAGTCACATTTCTTCTTTAAACACATGCTGGTAGTGTAAATAACAAGTTCAGTCTTTCTGTCCGCAGTGTGACTTCTCCACGTGAGTGCTTGACCACAAGAGTAACAGATGAATGGTTTTAAGCGGATTTGTGCTTTAGAATTTTCCAAGTTGTCTGTCAAATCTGTTTTTTATATGACCTACCGACGTCTTTCATTCCTTCTTTGTTTTTTATATGCAGATCGAAAAGTATATTGCGAAACTTTTTAGAAAGTTCAACATATTCCTGTGAGATGTCAGCATAGATCAACGGTACTTTAATCTATCTCAATGTACAGTAAAACCTTTCTTACTGAACATCCCGATAATGTGGTTAATGTGATCGTTTCTACATGGCTTCACTAGAGCGAAGCATTTAGTTGGTTCTATGATTTCTTAGAGAAATTATTCATTAGAAAGAGAAAAATAGGAAAAGAACAAAACAAAGTCATCTGATAAAGAAGTGGCAATTTAACTTTGGTTGTCTGTGTTGTCTGCCAACATTTTTTTTTAAATTGCAACAACAACTATTCCAAGCTCGTTCTTGAGGTAAAGGTGACTTTGATTAGCAACAAAGAGTATGGTGTTTCAAAGGTGTGGGTGTGCATGTGTATTATTTTCTAGTCTTACACCCACATCTTAGGTCATGTCAGAAGGCAAACAACACGAAAATTTTAAGAACATGGTGAAACTGAACCGAAACAGGTTCATCTAAGTCCATGATAAAAAACAACAACTGATTTTACATAGGGTTAAGACGTTCGGAATGAAACAAAGGAAAACAAATTAATTATAAAGAACAAAATATCCTGAATTTGATGAATATGATACACAAGATAATATCTCGCATTTAACAAGTTCAGCGTTATATAAAGATGAAATTGAAAAAAAATCATTAATTAGACTAGAAAAAATGGAAAATATTATCCAAAGATTTAAGAAGATATCAGTTACTCATAAAATAATAAATAAAACAAAATCTAAATTTAAACCTGCTGTTGTAGCTATATGCTTTAATTTAAATATTAAATTAAATAATTAAGAGATTTTCTGATTCATTAATAAGCTTCCACATTTTCTAATCGTTCTTGTGATTTCTTTATCTATCTTCTGTTTATTTCAACTTTTACGTATCATCCTCATTCCTGATAATAGGTTCAGAAAGTTCGAACGTTCTATTTTTTATTTCTGTTTGAAATAAAGTTTTAAAAATGATATTCACAGGAGTTATTTTGCCCTTTTTTTTCTTAAGAATTCAGCTATTTTATAGCCGTGTTCGTGGGTCGAAATGATCGATCTGGGATGGTAATTTTTATTATTGTCATATATATTTCTAGTATTTTGAGAAAACATTCTATTGGATACTGGTCGAACAGGAACACGAGAGAAAATGGAAGCAGCAAAGAGAATGATATTCAGCGATCAGAAGCTTATTGATGAAGATATCAGGACAAGTTCTTGAACAGTTTAACTATTTAGACAGCTTCTACACAAAGCCACTTTACTGCCAAAGCCTTGTTCAACATGTTTGGGATCTGTAGGAAAGATTTCATCAGCTCCAAATAGCCTCTGAAGTAGCGAAAGTGCATTGTCGCAATTAAGAAATCCAAATCCACATATTATCATTCGTTTTTTTATGATTTATTTATTACACTTACGAGTGCTTACATGTATAAACGGAGGGGGTAGACAATGTGACTGATAAAATGTGTCGCATACACATATATAAGATCCGTCCACCGAACGAAAAAATCCAGCCAAAGATGATTGACGGTTGGAAGAGATAAGTGCGAAAAGAAAAAAAATAGAAAGAGGAATAGATAGTAGAGAAAAAAACACTCATGCGCACGTGAATCTCAGCACGTTTTGATGAAATATAGCTATTTTAGAAGACGCGATTCCTGCTGCGCAATCATCTTAATTACCCAACCACAGCGAAATAGTTTATCCACGTCATCACCATCCCTTTTAGAAGAGTCATTTCCGATGAATAGGTCGTAATAGACGAGAGTAGAGTCAAGATCTGTCACAGGCATAATATTCAATCTTTTCTATACGTGCCGTTTGGCATACACGTTTAGCGTGAAGTGTTCGTTTCAAAAGTTCTTGTTCAAATTTTTGATAGCAAGAAATAAAATGCCAAGCGACATGCAAGACAAGTAAATATATATGCGAAGAAAGCTTGGCGCAATATTTTTTTGGACACAGTTCGCCCGCTAGGCAATTATATGAGCCTTTTAAGAGACCTCTGAATATTTCTTACATATCTATCGATTGTTGGTTTTAGCGACAACTTGTTCGTTCAAATGAAGCCAACATGCATGAATTCTTTTACCAGCTCTATCTTCTGTGTGTTCATTTTAATGTTCACCGTCGATTTTCTCACGTGTAGACATGCACTAAACCCAAACCCAAACTGTTTGGAAGTTTGGGCATGGTTATTGAATTCGGGTTTGGGTTTGGTACATGTCTACTCACGTGAATGCTGAACAGTTGTCTTCACTTTCTTCTGAGCTCGTATAAACGCGATAACATACTCAAGTGCCCTCATTTTTCATATAATCGGTCATCAGTACTAAAACTCTCATGATGTCTGACTCAATGAATATATTAAGATTCCTCTAGAAAATAGTCAGAAAGATAAACTCAGACTTCTGTCTTGAGGAAGATCGATATCGATGTTAAACGCATTCGATGCTTTCAAAGCCATAGACCCATTTTTATACTCGGAGTCGTCGTTGTGCGAAAGCAAAACAATATCTGAGGAGATTCAATTTAGAGATATAGACGAACGTTGCGAGCTTCCTGACCTCCATGAACCTCTTTTATGAACAATCAGATTATACAATAATCTACTTTGCAACCTTGCGTCAAGGCTCTCTCGATTTGAAAAATAAGCAAAATATCTTTTGCTAGACTGAAATTGCTAAAAGATTGAACTGGCCTGCTCTTTTTTTATTTTAGCATAGTGCAACACATTTTCCGGAGGCAATAAATGGCACAAAATATTTATGACAGTCAGCACTTTTTTGAGAACTATGCCAAGCTTAACCGCTCTATCCATGGGTTGAACGGTGCACCGGAATGGCCATCAATTGTCAGGATGCTGCCTAAAATGGAGGGACTTAATGTTGTCGATCTCGGATGTGGATACGGTTGGTTCTGCCGTTACGCCCGCCAGCAAGGAGCAAAACATGTACTCGGTCTGGATATTTTTGAGAGAATGTTAAACAAAGCCCGAGATATGACATGGAATAACGTGATTACATATCGTCAGGAGGACTTAGAGCAGCTTAAGCTCACTGAAAACACATACAATTTGGCCTACAGTTCACTGACATTGCATTATATTGACAACGTGTCCGCATTACTGAAAACGATTTATCAGTCGTTAACGTCGGGTGGTTATGTTATCTTTTCAGCAGAACATCCGATTTATACGGCTCCAAAACATCCTGATTGGTTAATCGACAAAGAGGGGTAAAAGTCATGGCCAGTCAACAGTTATCAGATGGAAGGACGTCGAGTAACCAATTGGTTGTTTGAAGATGTTATTAAGCACCATCGTATGATCGGAACCTATCTTAATTTGCTTATCGAACAAGGATTTATTGTCACACATGTTGAAGAGTGGGGTCCCACGCCACAACAGATTGTTGAAAATCCATCGTTGGACGAGGAAAAAGAACGACCGATGATACTCTTAGTTTCAGCACAAAAACCTGCTAACAAATAAAAATTTTCTCTGACAGGTTGTGGGTGTGGATCAGAATGGATGTCGGTGAGGTTTTGGTGTAGTTGTGGGTGTCACTGTCTCAAAATAACTCATCGATACTCACTCATACCAATTCTCACACTCACAAGTTCCTCAAAGAAAATGAACTGCGAATTAAGGATGTGAGTGTAGGAGTGGAGATGTGACTGTAACTGTTGGTGAAGAGATAAGCCACAGGCACACCCGATCCCCACACTCACATCCACACTTACACTTGTCCTTCATGCAGTATGAGTTTACTGTGCCATACTATATAGTAGCATAGAATACTTATAGATTTCGAGTTTATTTGAAAAGAAGAAGTGATTGAAACAACAAGATGAGTTAGATGTGTCCACCCGTGAAAAAAGTTAATTTACATTCCACTCATTGTTTCATGAGATGGTTTCAAGTTTAGCTGAGCATGTGATTGAAAGTTACGGCCACTTGGTGAGGAAGTACATGATTCTCCCAAAGATAATGGATAACATATTGGTCGTTGACAACATGAGTCAATAATACATACTGAAGTTGATGAAAGGCAGGAAGTGCAATCCGTAAATTTTGAACACGAATCACTTAAAGCACAAAATCCAGTACCGTTTGATGTACGAAAACAGGAACATTCAGAATTCGATGAACAAGTCGTCGTGAAATGTCCACAAGATTGACCCGAGCATGATTCTACAAAATTACAGACAAAAGAACGCATTTGCAAAAAATGATATTAGGTTCATCATTTGAGTTACCATCTATGATACAGTTATAATCTGAATCACATCGTGTTGCTTTCACTTGCTGACACCAAGCAGAATTTCGCAATTCTTCAGCAGCTTTTTTCCAATCTTTTCTTTCTAAAGCATTTTTCATATTAACAAATTTATTCAGTGTCGCACAACCAGCAAAGGCCACATCAATTATTCCCGCCCGTTTGATTGTTGGTAAATTGGGTACATATCGATCAACACAGGCAGCAGCTTCTGGATATGATATGGTGTTGAAAATACCGTCAGCGTCTTCACTCTTCAGGCAGCTATTAGACGTGCTCTGGCTACAATCTTTTAAGACATTTGCAAGTGTCAAATGGTACTTTGCCATAACTGTTGCAGCATCTGTACGTTGTAAATTGAAGCCAACACCAATTGTTGGTATATTTTTCGTGTCATAGTAACAGCATAGCTTTTTTCCTTCATTGATGATGGTCTGTTGTGGACCGCATGTAGCCATGCACAAATTAATCAATGAGAGAAATGTAAGTATTTTCAACATGTCGATAAGTTTGTCGTAGAAGTATAACTGGAAGAATCGTAGTAAAACTGTAGAAACTATGTAAAAACAATGTAATCTACAAACGTATATATAGTGTGAATGAGTAGCACGGAAATAAAAGAACATGACATCTGCAGTTGCGACGTATAATTTTGCATACGAAATTGACCATAAATAATATTTGATTTCGTTACTCAAGAACGTGTGATTACTTAAGATAAACTCCAACATGCTTTCTCCTGTCCACACTTCCTAATGATGCAATGACGATATCTACGCAATTATTAATTGCATCTTTTGCACAAATATCTTTAGGTTTTTCATCATGTGTAGTATTATGTCGCTAGAGTTTGATAATGACGTAAGATATAAATGTCATCTTCGTGCGTTCTTGATTATGGGCATTTTCATGTGATTAGTAATTAAACACGTTAAACGTCTGCAATCGAAAGAGAGAGTAATATTGCGCTCATTTGAAAAACTGTTCGCATTCTGGGAACAAGCAAAACTAACTTAGTGAGCGATAATACCAATGAGCTTGTTTCGAGTTGGAATATCCAATCGTTCGAATTCGAATTAGAGATCGACAAGTTCAGCTCAAGCTCAGAATTGATGAACTGTTCAAAACCGTCGTCGATACAAACTGAGCTATTCGAACAGATCTTTTGAACGAACTGAACCTTTTCAAAAACTTCAGCTCTATGAGCGGACTATGATGAAAAGTGACACGCATCATCTTCTGGATCCCTTAGGGATACTCTAGGCAAGACAACTGTGACTTCTTAAGTAGACTATGGAATAAACCTTGGGTTCTCAAAAGACTACTATTAGAGAGTATCCTTCGACGTCGGAGTGGGCCGGATGTGGGTTGCGAAGAGAAATATACTCACAGTACCTACATCCATATCCACACGCGCATCCAGTCACACACTCACACCCACGCCCACATCCACACCCTTGCTCGATTTAGTTACAAAGTTTAAGTTAAAACCAATTTGATGGATCTGGCTATGATTTGTCTAATTGTAAATATACTGAGATGTAATGATAGTTATTGAATCTTGTTGATTGATAAAGTTTCATTTATCAGGAAGTGTGCTAAATTTTAATATCTCAATCTGAAATATACCATTTAGCATCAAAATAGTAATAGCTTTATGTGTACATTCGCATCTAAAACGTACCATACAAATGATTTGAATCTTATTTTTTATCTGTTTCTCTGCATTTATTTGTCATATTTAGTTTGTTGTAAACCGGTTTTCGGATGTCGATCTCAGACATGTGACATAGTGAACAATTTTTGAATTTCAGACAATGATGAAACTTTGATGCTCGGAAATAGGTTTGTATTATTCAGAAAGGATTACGTATCATTTAGAAAATGGTATCGAAGAAAATAACGTAGGTAATGTTAGCACCAGATTCGCGTATTTCCTGTGCCGATTCGTCCCTACGTCTGTGCTGGTCCCCTACTTGGTTGTGCTGGATGCAGAATTTAATTCTCTATCGAATGGTGACAACTCCGGCGGGGGTCGTCGAGCAAAAAATTCCGTCCACCAGCAAAAAACCGCTTTTTCCTCCATGTGACGAATTCGGAAAAGATGTAATTCCAATCCCGATTCGCCCAGGCATCTGTGCTGTGCACCTCTTTGCTTGTGCTGGATGCAGAATT